AAAAAAAAAACTGTGAAAACTGAAAATGAAACACTTCTTTTATTCGTGTGTACTGCTTGATGAATCCCTTTAACAGTGAAGAATCAAACCATTAGATTTGTATAGGGGAATCCATGACCAGCAGGTATATCCCTGTCATAAGGTTTTTACAGGTATAGAGCCAGTGGGAAGAAAAGGTTGGAAAAGGGAGGTGAAAGTTTCCCAGGATATAGACTGTGCAGTGAACAAAGCTTCTTTAAAGCCCCAAGGTCACGTAGGCTTGCATAGCTTTTGGCCTGATAACATCCTTTCCTGCCCTACCCTGCTCTGAAGTGGTTCTTTTGCTGTCCAGCAGAAGAACGCTTTGTTGTTTATAGAAAAACTAAGAGGTTTTAAAATAGTTTTGTGATTCTGTCAATTTTTTAATATGGAAAGAGGAAAGCATAGATAGATACATGCCCCTTGTCCAGATTGCCAGCTGATGGTACTGGAGTACTTTGAAGTTCATTTGTGTGGAGGTGTTCTTCCAGAGGATGGGAAATAACCTGGTAGATGCACTGTAAGTTTGTTACAGGAATGCTGGTTGAAGATCCCAACTTTGTGCTATGTTTGACTAAGCAGTCACATATGGGAAAACCTCCTCATCCCTCATTCCCAGTAGTGCATTGTGGGCTGGCTGACTGTCAGGGCCAGTTTTATATTTTCTGTATCATGTTTGAAACTGATTCTTCTTAAATATTTGTAGTCCCTGCTGAAAAAACAAAACAAATCACACTATTCTCAATCTTGTGTTTATATAACCGTTGCTGTTTGATTTTTTTTTTTAAAGCATGTTTGTGCACAAGAGACTGATAAAGTAGCAATGCCCATTTTAAAATTCAGTACAGATGGCTGCTCTCAGTAGCATTCCACTTAGTTCAAAACAATGGACAAAATGTTAAAATATGCATGTTCTGCATGATAAAGGAAGGGTATAACATGCACAGAGCATATATTCATTTTGACACAGATTTTATTTAATAAAATATCAGTGTGAAAGTTAGGCGTCCTTATGGATTTCTTACATCTCCATGGTAGATGTTTAAATTTGTACTCTAGCAGTAGCAGTAGCAGAATGTAAGCAGTTGTAGTGTCCCTTATTATTTGTTTTCTATTCTAGCATGTTTCTTAACAAGCAGAGAGGTAAGGAATTAATTTAAAAATGCCCACTAATTCCTAGATGGAACTGTAAACATTTTTCTTATCTTGCTCCTAAAGAAAGCTGGTTGCAATTTTTAGGACCTTTTTATCTTGTTGTGGCGTATTTATTAATAAATTTGAAAATTACAGACCTAAATAATACAGAATCACAAACTTGGTGTAGAACTTTAGTATAGGGATGGTCTACTTAATTGAGATTGCTTTTTATCACATGTAGTATTCTTTTTTTTAAGGTATCTAAGAAAGTTGCAGACTTGATTCTTGAAAAACAGCCTGCATATGTTCAGGTAAGACAACTGACAGTCACTTTTTAAGAGTAAACCACTCCATTTTGTGCTTTTGTAATGCTACACTTGTTTCATTGGAGATTAAATCTAGTAATTCGTTAGCAGAGATGCTAGTGCCTGTTTGTAACTAGCTGCCTATGTGTGCTGAGCCTGTATCTGTACAGTGAAAAGAACCAAGGGTGTACTGAACTGAAGACCCTTAGGGTGATAAAGGCTTTGGCATATGACGGTTTTAGGAAGGATTTCTGAAAACATGAATTCGCAGGCTCGACTAATACCTGCCATGGACTTGAACAGGAGCTCCTCTAGTGCCTGTGTTTAGGAATGGTTTCAGATCTTTTTCTGTAAGAGAAAACAACAATGACCTTTCTTAAGAGCACTTACCCAGAAACCTGCCACTATTCTCAGGCAGTTGTGAGAAGAAAGCATCTAAGAAAAGACGGAGCTAGAAATAGACCCTCAGTTTGTCAAAGATCTCAGAGAGCGAAACAAAGCAAAACTGCTTTAGTAGTTCTGCTTGCAGCAGAATACTGACACGTCTTCTCTCCTTGATCCCATAAGATAACTGGAACAGCTATCATAATGAGTGTCTAAAGATAAGGTGTTATTTACTGCCTATTTGTTTTTAATAATGCCCCTGTACATTTGATCAGCTCTGCTGATTTTATTGATCTTTCCAGGAAATTACAGTGAGAATTCTGTGAAAACTTGGGATTGTTAGTCTGAGAATTATCCTGAGGTGGATAATTCTGTGTGTGTACAGCGCCTTGCGTAAGCATTGTCATACCAGTGATTATGGCAATTGTCATTTCAGTCAAGAAGCTGGAGAGAGTGTGGGAGGGCAATGATGGCTGCGTTTGGTGGTGGAGGTCTCTCTCTTTTCTTTTTTTCCTCTCCTCCTCTCCTTTCTTCTCTCCCTCCTTAACCTTCTTCCTGTTACATCCTTTCCTTCCTTGCCTCCTGCCTCTCAGCTGATACACTGTTGCTGCAGGCTAGGGCTTGTACCTCCTGGGTGTTAACCCATGGTAGGTGTCGTGGGGCTGGAATTATTTTCCTCCTTCATACAGAGAGCACAACTTCCTCTTGTGTTTGTGGCCCACACATCTTGCCTTAGTGAACTTGCGAGTGTCACGTCTGTGCTCTGGCATTTTGCTGGTTAGAAGGAGGAATGCTGCTCTTTAAAGAAAAAAGGAGGGTGAGCATTGCTTGTGTCGTCTCCTGCAATAGCTGATGGAAGAAGAAAGGGTACTATTATTTCAGTTTTAGTTAAAGGAGCCAGGTGGGGAGGCTATTGGGGAAGGAGGCTGGTAAGTGCTCTAGTGGTCAAGTCTTTGGAAGACAGCGTAGAGGAGGACAGAAAGGGTAATTGTATGGTATGAAGGCCTTCTGGTATAATTTTGCTGTTGTGCATGTTTGGAATTGATGTTGTTGAGTGAGTGCTGCTTTTTCTGAATCCAGCAGCTTCATTGAAAACCCCCTCTCAGTGCATAATAGTACTGTAGAGAATACACTTCTTGCATTTTTCTCTGTAATGCTCATGTACTTATCCCAGCAACATCTTAGTGAGGTGCACATGTTTTATACCAAGATGTTCTTTCAGGTGTTCCAAAGGGACAGTTAAAACCCATTATGCCAGTAAGAATCTTTTAAAAACATTTCTCAAATACAGGCTTACACAGTTATTCTTGTTGGTACACTTACTCGTCAGAGGTTTCTGGTGAGTGTCATAAGACTCATGTTCCCACTGGCTCATGAAATGAGCCTCCTGATGTGCTGTGGGTACTTTGTAGTAGCAGCTCCCATTCAGCGTCCAATTATAGTAACAGCAAACAAAAGAAGCAAAAACTGCAGTTGACTCTCTGTCTCCTGGACATCTGTTTCCACTGCGCAAAGGAAAGTACGGGGAAGTCATGGTTTGCACCACATTCCTAGTATGAAGTACTGGTCTAACAGGCACTAGTCTGGGCTGAGAGAGGCATGGCACAGACACAAGGCAAGGGGTTTATAGTTTTCCCTTCTCCTTAGAAAGAAAGGCATGCTTTAGAACAACCAGTGGGTGGAGGATTGTCTTTGAGAAGAGAAAAAATGTATTCAGCCCTAAATACGGGATGGAAGACTCCCTCTCTGGGGACCATTAGGCTGCACTTGCTCCCTGTGCTGCTCCATCTAGCCACATTTAAAGGAGAGATTTTACAGAATCTTTGCAAGAGATGAGACTGGAATGGAGTCTCTCCTTATTGTATGCGTTTCCTCATGAAGGAGGAAACAATGGCCCTTTGAATAGCTCTGACATTAGCAAAGTATGTTTTTAGTGAGAAGTAGCTACTGAGGAAAGTAATCTTTGAATTTGGTTTCTTTAAAATATTATGCATATCAGCAACTAAGCTGTCGTTTTTCCAAAAGCAATGTTGTTAACATAAAACACATAAAACACATCTTTTTGGTGAAAGATGCAGCACAGTGATTAGTCAGAATTACTTTTATCTTTGAAGACTGACCAGGAGCTGATCTTAAACTGAACTAAACTTTAAACATTTTTTTTTGCTTGTCATATCTTTAGAATTAGATTAGTTTTCAAAGTGAAAATCTCCCTTCTCCCCATGGAAAGCACTTGAGATGTTTTGAAATGATGAGCAGTATTTTAAAAAAATATTTTTTTTCTTTAGTGTTGGGAGAGCATTCACTTTTCCACAGTACTGTTCCTAACAAAATAAATCCTAATAGATGTATTAAAATTTTTCTTTATTTAAAGGAATTGAGATTATCCTAGGCACTTCACAAAGTCAAAATCAAGCTAAATTTAGGTCACCTGTGCTGAAGAATTTTCAGCTGAAATTCAACAGGATACATTTAACATTCATTATAAAGTGACATCTGTTAAATTGGTAGAACACAAGTGCTCCTGAACAAGAAAATCCAGTGTGAAACATGATTTTTTTTAATTTGCTTTTCTGCTTCCTGGCATAGTAGTGCAAAGTAAACCCTGTGCCTCTCTCCCTGAAGCTTTGATCCTTCTGCTGTAGTCCAGTAATGGTACAGAGATTCTTAGGCTAAATGTACAGAATAAAAATGTAGAGGGTCCCACTGCTATGAAAATGGATTTCAAGTATCTTTCTTCAAAAGAGAATTGTATTGTAAAGATAATTTACATTAATGTTACATTCCAATGCTTAGCATATATAAAATGATGAAAAAATAACACATAGAGTAGCACTACAAAGTCATTATAACATCTCAAGAGAAACCTGCTGATCACTGGTCTTCACTGGTGTGTAGCACGACTTTGACTTGTATATTTATTTATTATTCTCTCTGTAGGAACTTGAACGTGTTACATCATTGCAGACTGGCCTTCAGTTAGCAGCTGTTATTTGCACAAATGGAAGAAGGTATCTTGCTTAAATAATGGCAGATATTGAAAGGGGGAAAAAGTATTTAAGAATAAATTTGTAAACCCAGAAGTTTGCTTTGATGGACATGTTCGAAATTATTAGAAATAAGTTTTATTTTACATATCCTCGAAGATTATGCTAATTTTTAACTTTTGCAGACACCTGAATGTAGCAAAGGAAGGCTTCACACAAACTAGTTTGGGGCTTCTTGCAAATCAAAGGAAACGACAGCTGCTTATTGGACTGCTAAAGTCTCTGAGAACAATAAAAACACTGGTATGTGCAGTTGTTTTTGTTTAATGGCAAAATATTTTTCTTCATTTCTGTTTGGTTATCACTGCTTTTTTTTTTTTTTAATTTTCAGCAAAGAACTGATGTGCGTTTGAGTGAGATGTTGGAGGTAAGTCCCTGCCAGACTATTATAATTTGAAGCTATTCTAAGTCTGCATTTGCAGTCATCTTAATTTTGTCCCTTCTTTCCTTCCTCTTGCAAACAGGCTATGGGTATGTGCATGTGGTGAAATTACCTTTTATTCTTTTTTTAAATGTTGTGAGAAATACTTCATATCAAATCAGATAGCCCCTGTGCTGGGTAGGGGAGTATTTTCTGCCAAAGACTCAATCCTGCCTGTGGATCTGAGCACTGAGAGTTGAGTTAGTTCAGTAAGAGTGCTGTGGAGTCTTCACTCCCCTCTCCACCCTTGACTTAGACTTCTCTTCTGGCCTTAGCTTGATCTTTGGAAGAAAAAAGAAGGTGAGATTTAGCTGATTGTTGATATGCTGGGTCTGGATAAAGTACTTCTGGTATATTACTGTACAAATTTATATATGGGCTCCCTACTTAATATTTTATTTCTAAGTGTAGTAGCTTCTCTCCTTATTCATTGGGTTGGCTTTTTAATAGTTGTAAAAAACATTGCAGCATGCAGGCCATGACACTGAAAATGACTGCCTAAAAATGCAGTAGATACTGCACAGAGCAAAAAAAAAAGATCTTGTCTTAAAGTGATTAAATTATATGAAAGACAACTTCAGGACTTTATTGAAAAATATATTTAATCATGTAGTGTAACAATTTTGACTTGCTACTTTGCCAAATATTTCCGGCTAATACTGGATGGAATGTGATAATGATAATCTCTAGTTACTAAATTTGGAAATAGAGTCTTAATAGTTTTAACTCTGAAGATTCTTTGAGTTTAATTCCATCTTGGGTAGCACACCTTGTCTCAGTGCACTTCCTTATTCTTTACCAGGCAAGAATGTGTTAACGTACAGACTGCGTAAACATGTCTTCTGCTCAGTAAACCCTGCACAGTGATTAGCTTTTAATTTCTGTGCTGCATTTTGTTGTACAGAAAATCAGCTCTTTGCTGGCTACTGGTAGGAGTTGTCTTGAGATGGAGGTGTAGGTGTTGCATGCACACACAGAACTGAAATAATTTCTCAGTGACTTTTCAACTTTAATGGCTGGAACTGCCCTTTCTGGCTAAGTGCAGTTTTAGAGCTGTGCTCAGTGTCTGTTCCCAACAAGGTATCCCAGGTATTGGCCAATTTACTGTCCTTACTCCAAGAGAAGTTAGTAGCTTGGAATAAGCATGAGAGCTGTTAGTAGCCATTCACAAAGGAACATTTAGATAGGGTTTCCACTTGGAAAAAGACCAGACATGGAGCTGTACTAACTTATAGGGGTGAGATGCATCTGGAATATGTTAGTAGCATATGTTATGCAGGCAGGCTTTCTGGTTTGAGTGCTGTTAGACCTAATGGAGCAAGTACCAAGTTTCCAGTGGAGAAAGGTGGAAAGATCTGTAAATGCAGCAATCGTTTTAGACCAATGTACTGTTCTGTTTTCATCTAGTGGATAATGTGTGGGGTTTTTTGTGTTTTTAGCTAAACTTGATCTACATTAGAATGCTGCCGTTAAAACCAATTTAGTTTCAGAAAATCCTTTATGATAATAGCCAAATATAAATTGCCCATGCATTTTTACTCTGCAGTCAATGACTTTTGAATTCCAGTAACAGCTTTGCATTTGACCTCTCTGAAGCATATAATATAATGGATGTAATTAGGGCATAAATGGAAGCTCTCAGCTATTAAAGAGGGTTTTCCTTCTTCCAAGAGCCTTTCTGGCCTCATATCTAATAGAATTCAAGAATAGTAGTTATACCCAAGGCCTTGTCTATGTTCTGTTGTCAAGATCCTGGGGTTTTACATTTTTATCTGTATGTCTTTGTTTCGATTTTGTCCTGGTGTCTGCATGTACTTTGTGGGTGATCTATCTGTTGGATATTCGTCTTATAAATTAGGACAAAATTTCCATATTTTTTTCCGGAAGTATGTTCTTTTTCTCCTGGGGCCTTGTGTGAGCCAGTTGTCTTTAAATTCATTTCTAATTAGCTGTAGAATGTGCCAAATTAAATAGTGTCTATTTGGGCATGAAGTTGGAGTGTTTCACTTGTCTCTTTTTGGGTTTTGTAAACTATGGCAGCAGCCTGCCAGTGCCTGAACTGCTTTCTTTCCTTGCTTATGAACAGATCACATGGTATTAAAAAAGGTTTGAAAGTTAACTGCGAAAATATTAGTTGGTTTGTAATAAAAACTTGCTGATAGGTTTTGTATGAATGCATGAGTGAACAAAACAGCAAGTTATTTGCATAAGGTAATGTAATACATGGTGTTTTCAGATGTTGCTAATATGTTGTCTGTTTCTAATTCTAAACTGCTTGCACAATAAATTCTGAAATAGAGCCTCACTCATTTCCTTCAACTTTACTGTATAGACATAAACAAAATAGATGAACAAAATGTTTTGTTCTTAATGTTTATACATAAGCATGCAAGCAAAAATGGGTGCTGCAGTGTTTGCTTCAAAAGCCAAATTAGCTTTCCATTGTGTTTTATCCTAAGGAAGAGGACTATCCAGGAGCTATTCAGCTGTGCTTGGAATGCCAGAAGGCTGCCAGCACTTTCAAACATTACAGTTGTATAAGGTAAGGTGACATTGTGCAGATTTCAGCTTCTGTATGATTTATAAATGGTATAAACCAGTGATCATTAATTCTTATTCTCTAAAGCAGCTTTGATTGAAATTTAATTTGCTGCTTAGAAAAGTAAAATTGAGGCATATATAAAAGCATAAGCTTTCTCAGTAGTTTCCCCCCTCCCTGTACCACTACTAACCAGTCTTCACAATCATAACACTTTATAATCTATGTTTGGACTATGTCATTGTTTTGTAGCTGTTGTAGTATGTCATCAGGTAAAGTTTCAACTAAGACTGAGTTATAACTGTGCTACAACCTGCAGCCTAGAAATACCTGAGCTAATTTTTTAACAGGCAAGATTATGTTCTGGAATTAATCTACCTACAGCAAGATGGCTTATTGAGGGTAACTTACCCTGATTCTTGGCAATGAAACTAGCAAGCGTAGAGCTTCATGCTGTCATGGAGAAATTGCTTTCAGAACCAGAACTAATTTGAATATCTGCAGTTGCTAGCTTAGAAAGACTTGATGTTTCCGTTGCTTTTTAGAAAGGGGAAAAAAAAAGAATTTTCATTAAGTTCAAATTCTTAATAGATATGTCAATAAAGGAGTAAAATGAAGTGAATTTTGATGTTTCATCCACTAAGATCATTAGATTAATTAGATTTTCTTTTTGTGGTATTTAATTAACTGTTAAATTTGTTGGTAAAGTTCTGACATTGTTTGATCTCCTGTCGGAATAGTTTCTTACTTAGAAGGACCAAAATCTATAAAAACGTATGCTTTTCTTCGCTCTGTCCTCTAAATATACGCTTTGTTGCAACTGCAGAGTAATTGCCCATAAACCCTCGATTTCAGTCTTGTCTATACTGTTGAGTAAGCTCTCCTTAGTATTTATTGCTCTTTCAGATGCTCTGTGCCTCCAAACATTAATCTGATTTATTTTGCATATCTCCTGCATTTTTTTTCTTTCAGAGAGGTTAGCAACATTTATTTGGCTTGAAAAGGCAGCTTCATTTCTTAGAATCTTACACTGCTCATCTGGAAAAATTGTTCTTTAGAGATGTAGGTTAAATTTCACAGTTTCTTTGACTTATATAATTTACACAGAACAGAATTTCAAAGTTTCTGTTCAATGTTGAATCACTTCAAGCTTTTATTGCAGCTTCAAAGTTTATCTCCATTGCACCACGTCCAGTATAGCGAAATTTGGAACTTAAACTAGCAGTTTGTATTTTTGCCATTTGGAATATTTAACTACAAAAGTCATGCTATTTCAAATCTGATAGCATACTGACAAGATACGTGACAAATAGCTGTGAGGATTTACTTTGTTGTTGCACTCAAAAAGATGAGAGAAAAAAATCAGGACTGCTTCTTTATTCTGAGAGAGGTTTTTGAGCTTGTTTTTGTTTGCATTGTGAGAGCAGAAGGACGTTTTAGCTGTAAATCCCAGCCCCAGTGCATACATTTCAGTCTCTGTGCACTGTTTTACTTTCAGAAGTCTGAGAGAATATAACCCACCACAATGGTATGGAATAAAGTCCCACTGACAGGGGATTATGATGCTAGTGTGTCACAGTGACAGCAGGTTAATGATTTATGATAAATTACTAAATTGTGGCTCAGCAGCAAGCAAATATGATTTTTGGAAACAAGAAACTTGGTTTGAAATGTTAATATGATACGTAGTTTGATTTTAATCTTTTTTTTTTTCTTTTATTAATAGTGAGTTGAATTCAAAACTGCAGGACACCTTGGAACAAATAGAGGTAAGTATTAATAGATTTATGTTTAATAGAAGTTAGGATTTAATCTCTGGGTACTAGAGCTTTCTAATGGGATGTTTTTAGCAATTACAGAATGTGCACATTTCTTTCTAATATGGTTGTTGGAATGCTATAGTCATTGGTATTCATGTAGCCTTTTGTGCTGCAGTCAGCTTAAATGCTCTAGAATATGTTATCAAATTTATGAGCCCAGCTCACTAATTGTGCCCACTTTAAGTGGTAAATCAGTCAAATAAAATAGGCACAAAACAGTTGAGGTACTGGAGCAAAGGTTTGCTCCCTGTCAGGTGAAGATGCACGGTGGTTTTTGGTCCTTGAACTGCTCTGAATTCTTTAGACTAGTCCTAAACAGTTGTGAAAAGTAAATTAGCAGCATGCCAATAGGTTTTTATAAGCTACACAAGAGATCACAGTTTCACTGGAAATTTTAGAGGTCAGCAAACTCGAAACTGCTGGATAGGGCCAGTGCTAAGTCGTGGGAAGTAAAACTTGAACAGCTGAGAAAGATGCAACTAAGACAGAACATTAGTTTAAGTTGGTAGATAGCATTGCAAAAGCAAATGAATATAAAATGGTGTCCTTCTGGAAACTGGTGGCAAAAAAAGCACTCATGAACAATAAAAATTCTTTTAACTCCATTACTAGGTAATTTTGAGCTGGAACTTGTCAAGGTTTTTGTATGTCTAGTAATGTAGATATGTATAATGTATATGTAGTCCATGTAATGCCTACACAGATAATGCATAGTGGGAAACTGAATTAGCCATCCCAGCAGCTCTCTACACCTCTGGTCATATGCTCTTTAGAAAGTCACATTAGTGCATGTACTATCATACCTCGTTTCTTAATTCCCTGTACAATTAGGACTTTGTTAAATTTCCTTCACTTACGCCTTTGTACTTTTGCTTTCTTGCAAAAGTTTTCTTTGTTCTTTTGCTCTTTCACTGATACGTGGTCTATTCAGAGCATGGCTCATTCAGAAGGGCTAGTGAAATTTCTGTTTTCTCACTGCCACATAGGCCAGTCATTAAACTTGTCTTTTTTATTTTCATTTCTATTGCTTTCATATGCATGCCATTTATTCCTTGTGAGCAAACATTGCAGTTGCTTTAAAGGAGACATGCATCTTTACTTCCTTCCAGTAACAGTTTGTGGAGCAAACTCTGTGTGTACTAAAACATGGTAAAATATGCCCTGTAGAGTGGTGATAGCAATTCACAGCTACCCAAATAATAATACTCAAGATTTTTAGTTATTATTTGTGAATTTATAGAAATATCTTTTTTCTCTCCTGTGAAAGTATGTTATTTTCTGATGGAATTATGTCTATATGTAGGGGAGAATGTAAATCATCCTGGGGTTCATAGAGTGTTCCTGTGAAATGTGTGTTCTAATTCATATAGAATCATATTCTGCTAATTAATATTTTAATAATGAGCCTTCTCAGCAGTAGACTGCCTCTGCTTGTGTCCATTCCTTTTTTTTTTTTTTTCTCCCCTTGTAATTTAGGTTTTCACATTGACCTTACTTTTATACTATGTTACAAATAAAATGCAAGGTGGCTATAGTGGAAAGAACTGTTCAAAAATGCAGCTGAAAAGATTAATGTGTTCTGTGTTTATGAGCTCTGTTCATGAGCAGTTAGATATTCCTGTTTCTCTCATGGTACAACTGTTCTGCATGAAGTAAGAGAAGGAAATATTTTTCTTTTAAAATTGGTATATGACTGTTTCAGTTTGCTGAGTAACCCTTTAAAGAAGTTCTGAAACTTTAGGTTGCTTGTCCTTTTACCGTTTTGCTTAGGAAAAAAATATTTGTATTCTACTCTCCTTTTTTTGTGCTTAAAGAAAATATTGCTTAAAATCTTAAAAAAACCCAACAAAATAAAATACATCCCCAAACCCAACAGCTACAACACTCCTCAGATCTCTAGGATTAAAATCCATAAATATTTAGTGGCTAATGAAGTAAGTAATGAAGATTTTCCAGAGGAGTAAGTAAAAGTACTTAGGAACTAAACAACCATCTCCTGTGGTTTCTGTTTGCAAGAGTAAGATTACATTGCAAGATCCTTAAATAATAAGAATTGAAATGGCTTTAGTGACAAGCAAGGAGAGAAAATATCTGCTAGCTTTGTATGTTATCATATGTTATCCATTCTTGTTTTCTTTTCTTGCATTGTTGATTGAAAAGAACTAGAATGGGGCTGTGCATCCCTGAATATATTACAGTGTCTGAGTGAGAATTGTGATATTAAGATACAAGGTCAAATTCTTGGAAGCCTTATTAGTTAGTCATTAAGTATATGATCCTACTTTAGTTTTTTTTAATTCAGTGACAAATAATAAATGATCTTCGTTTATTGCAAAGCTGTTCAGTATGCTCAGACACAGCTCTCACGGCAGAACTAGTAATTGTGTGTGTGTGCACACATGCACTTTCTCCTATCGTACTGATCGTTGTGCTGGTATAGTACTCCATAAATTACTTATTTCACAGTGAACTTTTAAGTGAGACAGTGTTAATTCCATTTAATAGATGGAGGTCAGAGAGTTAAGAAGTCTATAATTGAATTGCTGGAGCTGAAACACCTGTGGACATTTTCATTTTTTTCCCCCAGATCTGGGTTTTTCTTAGGAGTGGGAATAGAGCAAGTTAGAAATCCTAGCTCTCCCATATATTGGTGCTAGACCTTCTCAAAGTAAACACGCTTTGAATTTGTCTCTAGTGAATTAGTGTACTTTTTACTGTGCTCGTTCTTGGAAATGGTAGAACTGTTTTGGCTGACAGAAGTTTCAGACTGAAGTACTGCAGGCTGCAAGAAGTAACATTTGAGCACCTCAAAATAGTCCAGTAATGTAGAGTCTTGGCTTAATGTACCATAATTATTAGATAGTTTAAATAAGCATCTTTTCCTCACTTGCTGTTGCCTAAGTAATGTATTCCTTGGCCTGTTTTTATCAAGTGTTTAACACTTTTTTTTTTCTTCATTTATATAGGAACAATTGGACGTAGCACTCTCCAAAATATGCAAGAACTTTGATATCAGTCATTACACAAAGGTTCAGCAAAAAAAAAAAACACAGGTTAGTACTCATCTTCTGAGTAAGTTACAAAGAACAGTGGTGTAACGGTGTGAAGTGTTGAGTACTGTGGTGGAAATTTATTTTCCTAATTCTGATGAATCTTGCTGAGTATACAAAGTTTTATACTGCTCAGATAATTTAACAGTAATGGCTAAAGGTAAACTGTATTACTGTAACATGTAGCTTTTTGGACATTGTATAACTGTAACAGTTCCATATTTCAGCTCTATTTATAATGCTATTTGCTTTATTAATTGTATTTGGGCATATGAACGCTATTTTTCATAGCTAGGTCCCTGTTGCTCAGTTGTGTGCAACCTGTACCTTGTATGTGTGCATTCCCATTTTATATTGTACTCAAGTGCAACAGGAATGAAGGTGTGAGGAGATTTTTTTTTTGACAACAAAGTATGAGATAAGGCATGTCAAACCTATGCTGTAGATATGTTCTAAATGTTACATCTCTGCATGCCTTGAGACTTTTGTATGTAAATAGGAGTAGGCCTAAACTTTCCAATAGGTGCACTACCTTCTGTAGGTGCACTGCCTTGAGGCTTCAGGTGTTTTGTCTGGGAAGGTGGTGAACTTGTTTCCTTCTGAAGCAGATATGAAGTGTTGTAGCTACTTCCAAACTCCTGTGACATAAAGAGGGTAAGGAGAGGAGAAAGTCCTGGAGGCATCTTTTGTCAGTGATTGGTATTCTTAACATAGTGAGGCTAAACATGGTGGTGCCAGTGCAGCAATGATCTTTTGGTTATTGAAGAGATTCCTCCAGAAGGCTTTAGATGCTAAAGAACATGTTAAACTGCCTGTCTCCTGATGAAGGCAGGACAAGAACCCCATTCATTCTTTATTATGCTTGGTTTTTTTTAATGTTTCCCAGTGTTCAGAAGCGTGGCTGACATTAGAATGCCTTTTTTGGGTTTGTTTTAAAATTTTTGTTTGGTTTTTGTTTGTTTCTACTTCGAAGCTTTCTAGTAAAGTAGGGTTCTTTTTCCGTGACTTGATTGTGTTAACAGTGTAGCTCTTCAGTAGCATAGAAATGGATTTCTCTTTCCACACTTTGATGATGTGTAGAATTATTGGAGTGCCTAAAGACTGCAACTTAAAATCAGGAAAAAATATTAATTAGGCTTTTCCTTTGTTAGTGCGTTTTATGCAATTTCTTTATTTACCGGACAAAAATAGATATAGTGCATTCACTGCTTTGAAGTCTGCTACATGATACGTTGAGAAAGGCAGACTTTTTTTGTAGAAGAATGAAGTTTCCAAACAAAACAGAAGTGTTAATTTTTACTGTACAGTTTTGCCTGTTCTGTTTTCATGATAGGGTGACTTGTTTTTGCCAGTCTTTTACTTTTGAAGTATGTATTTTGAACTTGTCCTGAAAAGAATTTATTTGCATCATTATTATCTCCCATTTTGACCCTTCCTCATTAAACAAAATGACAAGAACCTTCAGTGTCTTCAGTACTTTTCATGTTTTCATTTGTCATTCTGTTTTCTTTGACTGATTCAAGTTAGGACTAGCTGCAGAAGATCGGTTGTTTGCAGTAGGACTGAAGCAGAATGGCTTATTCATTTCTTATGGGAGTAATTGAGTTCTTAGCTCCTGTCAGTAGCTAAGAATGTCAAATAGCAAGTAGTGAAACTGAACATTTTCAGATCTGCAGGATCTGATAACTTAATTCTGGAATATTAATTATTTTTAATTAATTCTTATATACCGTATGTACTAATTATTAGCATATCTTGAAACAGTGAGAAAATTCAGTGTCCGAAATGGACTAATGTTATGTACAGTGTATTAACAAAGGAAAACAGCCTGACCTGAAACTTCAGCATGATTATGGCAAAACCTATATGTTAGATAGTCATCAGTGTTTAGTACGTGTACTGATATTTTTTGTTCTGGAAGAAGTAAATTTTGTTAAATGTCATATTTGTTTTCATTGCATGGAGTAGTTTTGTAAGAAATTTATTGATGTGATGTACATGCCTTTCTGTAACACTGAATACTACGTTACATTTTTCAAGGAAACCAGTTTTGGCAAGTGGATGGATTGAAGGCTTTCTAATTGTGGTTTTAGCTTTATTAATTGCAAAGGAAATATTTTTATTTTAGTTGGAAGTGTTTCCAGTGGGAAAAACAGCACTGATCTCAACTAATTTCTTTTTGACACATTCATCAATGATGGGGAGGGCAAAAGAATTAATGAATAAATTCTATAATTAAATGTTATATATACATAAAATTAATATTTACTAGTGATAATTTCGAAAAACAGGTCAGTTATGGAGGGAGGATGGCAGGGGAAACTGATTTTATGGTAATACCTGAATTCTTTTACATTACCATATTGTAATATTGCCACATCCTATGTTAGGTATTTTTGAAACAAAGATTGGAGGCCATACTTACAATTTCCTGTGTTGTGTACTGAAAAAGACTTACATTAAAAGACTATGGCATATGACAAATTGAATTTTACTATTTGATTTTATGTTATTCCTTTTCTTTCAGACAGCAATGGACCAGTTACATATGCACTTCACTCAAGCCATTCACAACACTGTGTTTCAAGTAGTCCTTGGATATGTGGAGCTGTGTGCGGGAAATACAGACACCAAGTTTCAGAAGTTACAGTACAAAGACCTCTGTACAGTATGTAATTCTTGCATATACTTATATTTTAATTTGAAATTTTCCATTGTTGTATATATACCTTATGTAAGTAGGGACTGGCTTATTAAAATAACCCTGCAGCTTCTGTAGTTTCTTAATACACCTCATAAGCTAATTGAGAGATTGGTTATTTACAACTTAATGCTGATTTTGATTGCCCTAAATCTTAGCATTTTGGAGTTAGTGTGCACATCATCTAAATAAATGTAAAGAAGTTAGTTGTAGGATACAAACAGGAGATCAAGATTTCAAAACTCCCATATTTCAGTGTAATATCCTAGTTACTGGAATCACTGTTAGCTTTGAACTTTATTTCAGTCCTTTTAGGTAGTATTTACAGTTTCTGTAATAGTGCATTTCAGTAAGGATTCTCATAAAGATATTAACTTAGTTGGAGTCTTCCCATTACTCCTAACATTCTGTCAGATTCCTTGCACTGTTGCTATCAAGATAAGGGACAGCTGTAATATTGAGATGCAATAGCCTAATGATAGGCAGATCATGGACTGGGGATAATAATGTATTTTCCTCTAGTATAGCTTTTTAGATGCAGTTTCTTGCATGTGTATATTTTGTTTATTTAAAAAAAATGTTATTGGAATTAATTATTGTATTTTGAATACTATTTTTAGGTAACTCTTCAATTGTTTCATTTGTGATCTTACTGTTATACCCTGAGAAATTGTCTTAAACTTTAGTGGTGGGGAGAGAGAGTGTGACATATTTTAGGTAGTTGTAACATTGATCTAAAACTTGAAATTCTATTTCTATCTTGAATGTTCTTTATTTGTTTGTTTCAGTCACAGACTAAGCCCTCATCATACTTCATGAACTCAGGGACCCACCCCATGAGTTGCAATTTATTAAATCAAAGTACAGTCACAAGGAGATTAAAGTTCATATTCTGGTCCACTTTTTCTGCTCTTTCACTTCTCAAATCTGGGATTGTGTAGCTTCCACTAGTAAACACCACCTCTGCATTGAAAACCATTTCATTGTGAAGAGGTGCCCCTTTGACTTCAAAGGCTTACATAATCTAAGAGACTTCATATGAACAAAAGTGGATTATGAAAAATTAATTTATTTGGAGGAATTGACAGAAGTGTTAATGAACAGAATGAGTAAGGCTCCAGATAGGTTGTATTTGCGCTTCACTGGGATGAGTTCTAGTTGAAGAAAGACAGCAAACCCTGATTGAAGCACTTTCCTATTTCTGCTTTAAGTCTTTCTTCAGAGAGTGTTTTTGTTTTCATTTTTTTAGTTTATAATGCCCTTTTCGTCTGAGTTGTTTTGCTTTATACTTCTATATGCCCTTCAGTATTATCTCATTCTTTGCTAATATTTATGATACTAAGCCCATTTATTTAGTTACAAACAGTACTACTAGCAATGGGAAAGTATGAACTATTTTCTACAACAGCGTTAGTTTGAAGTGCTAGTTTCCAGACTTGTCAGAAAATCTTTAAATAATAATGTAATTGAAATCACGTTTGTGCAGCTAGACTTTACCCTTGTTTATAAGCTGTGAGACCATGCTTCTTCGTTGCGAGATAAGGGTGACTTCCACTGCCACTCAGATGAGCAATGTATTTTACAGTCTTTTCTTTACCTAGCAAGACCCCTTCTCAAATGCATCCCTTTACCTGACAATGTCATCACAGATATTTCTACTGCATATTTATCTCTCTGATAAAATTGATACTCTTCAGCTAATAAATATCTTAATTTGCAGTTGGCTCTTTAGAGGAGGGCGGCTTGGGGAGGTAGGACAGCTGCCATCTAAGTTTGCTTTTAAATCCGTATCCAGCATTCAGTCCAATTGTGCACCAGCCAGGATGGCTTCTACAAGTATCTATATTGTTGAAGTGACGCAGTGTTTGCATGTCAGAGGGGTGGCGGCATCCCTCTTTGATGGTGAGATGTGCTGACCGTAGACTGTATGGCTTTATTTCTGTATCTACCTTGCCGTTCCATAAATATAAAAGGTGGTTAATATATGGGCTGACTGGAAAAAAAAAAGCCTCTAACAAATAAACTTTGCATTTTTAGACAGCATTTGATTAGTTGAATATAATCAGGCATTTGCCAGCTTTCAAATACTTTTGAAAAGGAAACTGATATATGTCAAGCACCTCAGCTGTATGAATATGGAGGTTTTTGTATGGTTTGTTTTATTTCTGCAAAAAATGAACACAATTTTTAAGTTTCACAATATTACTTTGTTTTTCTATAGCATATTACATCAGACAGCTACATTCCATGCCTTGCTGATCTCTGCAAAGCTCTCTGGGAAGTCATGCTCAGTTACTACCGAACAATGCAGTGGCATGAGAACCATGAACAAGATGAGGCAGCAGCTGTGTCTTCTGGTAAGAAACTGTTCTGGAAACAAAACTTCTGATATTTGGAAATAACTTTTCCTATGCTCAAGTTGTTATTTTGTGTGTTGGTACCTTTGTGGTCTTGACTCAGCGCCTTCAGCATTATTGCTTGTAGTGTGCAGTAAGGACATAAATACTCACTGGATTTTTGTAGTCTTCAGTATAAGGTTCATTCTTTAATGAGTATGTGTATGTGTGATTATTACAGATATAAATGGGTTTATTTTAAACAGTTCATATTGTTGAGTTGGAAGTCAGCTATGATAGATGACTGTAAAATCTGAGGATTTTTCCCCTTAATATAGGACCAATGTGAAATTTCAGTATAATTTTGCTTTTCTTTTATTGTTGTTCCAGTTTGTGTTTTTAGGACAGAAGCACAAAACCTTTGTCTAACTCCTCCTAAGTACATTTTGCTGGCCATATTCTAAATGAATATAAAGTATCTGAAGACAGACTTTATTTCTCCCACTAACCCAAGATGCTTGTGTTTGGCACAAACCCAAGAGCAGAGTGTGAAATTTACAGTATTAGGACTTATACAAAACTCTTATTTATTTGAATCAGATATGTTCTTACTGAAAAGGAGGCTTCTGTCAAAAGACAAGGACTGTAGAATTGCTGCTAAAGTTATTCCCTGATGCCTGATTTGCATAAAACTTGTATCCCTTGCATTAGATGATAAGAAGAAAATAAAAAATAATTAGAAATAGAAGTAAAGAACAGATCTTGGAATACTGCTTCCTACAATGTATTTGAAATCCAACATTTCTTTCAAAAGTCAGATTTATTACAGATTTTAGAGTCTTAAAAAGAATGACATTTATGCTAATTAACATTGTCTTCCTATTTTAAATTTGAAAAATGAATGAGAATATTGTCTTCAGAGTGTCCTTCCCGTATTGTGTGGAATTAAAAAAAAAAAAATTAACAAAAAAATAAAAGTGTGGATTTGTTGAAGCTGTTATTTCATATAAGAGTTTTTACATCAGAATTAAAATTCAGAGTTGAAATATTTCATTTTGAGATGCACCACATGAAGAAAGATTCTGAAGTTTGGAATGAATTGTCTGTTCTTAATAATATTTATTTTTGCATTTAAAATAACTTCAGATAATTACATCTTCTCTTGTTTTAATTCTGTTGTGATCTTTGCATGTGTAAAATAAAGCAGGTATCATAAAGGTATTATTGCATGGAAACATGATCATAGTAGACTACTTGTGCAGCTCCAGATGTAATTTTAAAAATACTTCCCCTTAGTATGGTTACTTGTGATATCCTGAGGAAAGAAAGTATTTTGCACTGCAAAACCTTTTAAAGGAAGAATTAAGCCTAGTGAAGTGGCATATTCAGTCACATGAGTAATTTTAAAGGCATTGGTTTTTGAATGTGTGCCAGGTTGTTTTGCTATGTTTACTACTAATCCACTAAATCTTCTGTCACTCAGCTTTTAAGTTTTTGGAGACATTGTGGCTTAGCTGTAATGTACAACTAGAATATATTTAAGCTACTGAATCACTTTTTTCAAATATATAAGTGTTGATAAAGCACACAAAAGGGAATTTCAAGGTCTAATTTAATTTCAGAGGGACCATAAACATCTACCAAATGTCTATTTTTTCTAAAAGTCATTGCTCATGCTGTAGTAATTATTAAACCTGTACATGGAAGCCTCATTCTGTATTTATTGATTTAATAGCTGTGATATGTGCTAAAGCCAAAGAATAAAGTTCCTGTGGGAGGGGTGAGTATGTCAGAAGGAACCATGGAGGCAGTTCAGGAGATTATACTAGAATTGTTCCCTCAAGTAAACCCCATAGAATGGAGCAATAGAAGGAGCAGTATTAACTGTTGTAAGTGTATCTGGCTTTTACCATTTTGAAAACTCAAAGCTGTCCCAGTATTTTTCTCGTTGTGCCAGTTAACGTCAGCAATGTCACAAAATATCTTAAATGGGTCAAGGGACTCTTGATCTTAGGGCACAAACCCAGCTGTAGAAGTGAGAAGCTGGGTTTAGAAGACAAGAAGCTCTTTCTATTTTAATAGTGAAGCTTATCCAAAAGAAGTCCTGCATGGATTATGGAAAGGAGGTTACACTTTATCAAGATCGTGTGTCACATGTTCATGATTATTAATACCTGTTAAATGCAATCTTAAAAAGTTTTAAAACACGAGACATATTTTAGTACCTTTCATGAAACAGGAAATTCTAATGAGATTTAGTTTGCTGAAGTGTTATAACAGAGTAGTAGTAAATCATAGTGAAATGTATGGTATTGATAGTTCTATGAATCATCAATAATAACACTTAACTAATTGGTCTAATGTACTGTTGGAAGGGTAGAATTAAGTGTTCAAATGTAGGACTTGTTTAATCATACTGAAGATAAAATTAGTGAACTAAAACTATCAACTCCATAGCATGAAATGAGTTCTATGTCACATTTAATGAACTACTACTTATTCTGATTTTGTTGTTCCTACAGTAAACAGAAAATTGCTGTGGTGTGGGTTTTCATCCCTGAAAAGAAACTGCTTGCTGGAAAATATTCCATTCCACTGTTGGTCGTGGTCACAACATTGTTTGTGTTTGTAGTATAGAATATAAGAAAAAAAGAGTTTTAAAGGGACCTGTGCAGGTCATTTTGTCTTCCCTACTCAAAGCAAAGTGAACTTCAAAGTCACATTGGTCTATGCAAGGCCCTGTCTGATTCAGCTGGATTTTCACATACCATAAAATTTACTGTGATGTTAATGTAATTCATGTGTATTTGTGAAGCACTAATTTGACAGAAGAACTGAAACTGAGCAGTAAAATGATCACTATAGCATTTAAACTCCTGATTTTACAAGTGTAATCCTTTTACCATAAGTGATAAAAGTTGGTAACAACTGTAATTCAGATTCAATGAAAAGCAAGAAGAAAGTGATATAAGATGTAAGTTTAATGGCAACCATTTTATTTTTCAAAACTTTACATTTAGAATATTGCATAAATTCTGTGTGAGATCTGCTTGTTATTCAAAGAATGGAGCTGGGGGACAATGATTTGATTTATTTTTTTTCCCTCTGCCTAGTGAGAATTAAACAAAAACCTTTTGTTACAACGGAAAGCTGCCTTTATGAATTTTGGAGAAATACTGAGAAACCTGAAAAAATACTCTATTTAAATCAGGCAGTTTTGGATCTTCTAATTCTTGTTTTTATGTGAAATTATGAAGATTTATGGACCTTCTGGACCTTTGTCCAATCCTTGATTTTCACAGAAATTATCCTAAATTCTTATTCTTATTAAATTCTTATGTTTGCATGTGTGAAATTAGCTTCAGTACAGTTCATTAAAATACTGCAAATGAGACCTCTTAGCACGACTGGCCATAAACCAGGAGCACTGGGAGTTTGCCAAAGAGAATATTGCATGGATTTTTGTTGAACAATAGCATCTGTATGACTGTTCAGCCATTCCTTCATAAATGGCTGTTTGTGAGGATAAAGGCTGTGGTCTTAGTATCTTCGACCTGTTCTCAAGATTGACTTATTTAAGCTTGGCTTCACTCTGCAGAAGTGTAGAAAAGAGGGGGCTGCAGAAACTTCTGAAGAGCATGCTGTGACTAAGATAGCTGGTTTTGTTTACTCATATAGTCAGAGAAAGGATAAATCTGCTTAGCATTTCTCTAGTTGGGCTATTCTTTCTGTTCATATTTTGTTTCATCTTCCATGATAAATCACTTTTGAAAGTGTATTTGTCAGAATTATTGCTTTCAGGAGAAGAGGAGCATATTTGGGTACAGTTACTAAATTGTAATGTACATATACAGTGGCTAATATTTTTTTTGGGATTTTTCTTTCATAAGGAAGATTTGCTTTGAGTGCCCTGCAACAGTCGATGTAGTATGGAATTATGTTTGAGTCTTGTTTTTGCATTAAGCAGCCTTTTATCTTCTCATTTTGAGTAATGAGGGTAAATTCTCAGTCTGCCTGCAGAAGTGGTCTGAAAGACTATAAACAGGAAAGAGTTGAACGTAGCTTTGCAGCCTTGGAAGAAATGAATATCTACCCCTAATGTAAGCCCAAATTCCAGAATATATTTTATTATGTTTTTAATTTTGAGGAGAGGTTATTCAACTGAAAGTGCCAGAGCATTTACATTCTGTCTGCATTCTATATCCTTGAGGTCTACCCTCATGGGCAGACTAATTATAATTTAACTGTCTTTAATATTTTTCTTGGCGGTGTTCATATGTTTGCCATCATAATCCCCAGCTCACAAACCGAATTTCCCTCGGTATTTGATAAGGATCATAATTTAATAACATGTCCAGACACACCAAATAGCTCCACTTGAAAGAAATTAAGCAAGGCCAGCATCTTTCTTGGTAACCATATTCCCCACGTTGGCTTAATTTAAGGGGATCTACAGGTGTCGAAGGTTTCGTATTTTTGTCATTCCTGTTATGCTTCTATATTATAGAAGCGTTCATATGATAGGTAATATATTATGTATATTTAGATTTTTTTTTAATTTACATGGGAAATGCAAATAGTTCTTGTTCTGAGAAACATACCCTGAAGAAGTTCAAAGCAGAAAACAGATGGTTGATGGGGAGAAGGAGGATATATATCATGCTGTTCTACTTACAGGTGGTCTGGCCTAGGACTGGGAGTATGAGACACTGGTAAGTGCTAGTCAGGATTAGTGATTGTTACAGAGGGAAACTCTGCTTGACACTGAGCTCTGGATGATCTGAAGAAAATATGGTCAGACTCTGCTGTGCTCTTTTGTATTTTGGTTTAATTGAATTGTCAGTACCTGATATCAGTCATAACCGTTCTTGCTCAGTGGATGACTCTTTCTCTCCTTCTCTTAAATATGCAGTAGTCCAGACAGTGCTGTGGAGGTCTATTCTGCACACATCTGAAAAGGTTGATTAAAGTCTTTTATCCTCCTATTCCTTACTGTGCTCATAGTAAGGTGCTCATGATATTCACACAGCATTCATCTAGACTGCATGGTCTGGATTCAGGGCAAGGCTTGGCATGGAAAGAACGCTTATGTTGTTGACAAAAAATTTCATAGCACTGACAGATGGAGGGCAGATGTAGGTTCTTTATGGTTCTGGACTGTTCTTCAGTAGACAACGAAATTAAACATGAAAAATTGCTACTCTGAGGAAAGTGAAATTAAACTAGAAGGCTTTCTGGATAAAACTATGAAGCCTAGTAATGAAGAACTGCAAATGTCAGTCAGGATTAACTCTCTCTGTGGTCCTACTAGCACATTGCCATCTAAGGAACTGCCATGAGAGGGATTCAGTATCCAGGTGGCATTTTTGTCCTTGCTGGTTTTTTCTTTGACAGTGTAAAATCCTGTCCCTGCATTGATGAGATAAGCTAATGAATGAAAAGCTGCTGGAGCTGCACCTGAACTGTCTTGGCAGCATCACTCAGTTTATCAGCTGAATGTGCTTCGTAGCTTTATGCTGTTTCCCTGGGTGGAAGCTGCGTGTAATCCCACTGAGGCAGTTCAGTCCGTGGCCTTGGATCACTTCTGAATTCCTTGCTGAGGCCACAAGTAATTTTTTTTTTTCCCCTGCCCCCTCCCCACCAAATAACATGTTCCACAAGTTAGGGCTGGCCAAGACATTGCTGCCGGTTGTTGAGGAGCTGTTAAACATTCTACTCTTTCCTTTGTGTTCCTCTCTCCATTATAGCAGTGATGTATCTACCAGGTCATGAAGTCCAACAGGTTAAAAGAGTCCATCTTTCAATAATGTAATCTAAAGTAAGGATGTTAGACATGCCCTAGTCTGTTAGGCATGTCCTGTTGCTTTCCAGGTAGGGCCCACATTATAGATAGGGACTGTCCTTCCCACAATATCATAAGGAGCTGGTTTTATTTATTTATTTATTTATTTTTCTCTGGTTCCCTTTCTGGGTTCCTTCAGGAACTGGGCTTTGTGCTGCCTGTTCCCATGAAGCCTAGGTGGCAGGGATGAGACTGCCTGATGCGCGTACGCAGTGATAGCTTGGGGCTGGGTGGAGGTTTTTGAGAGGAAATGCTGAGGTCAGGAGTAAGGGAAGGAAATGGGTTTGAGTTGGGAGCCCGTGTGTGAAAGTAGAGAGATGAGACCAGCTGGTCCAGGAACAAGGGAGTGAATAGTCTTCCCGAGTACTGAAAACTAGCTGGAGGTTGTAGAAGAGGTGGAAAGACAGGTCTGAACTGCATGGCAATGCTGGGGTACTGCAGGCTGTCTTGATTCTTCTGTGTTTGCAGCCTCTTTAACGGTGGGTTAGAGGAAGGGCTGTACACTTTGTAATATTGCAATATAATATTTTATGTGAATTTTTATCTTTCATGTCAAATCACTAAATGGTTTGGGCTGTAAAAGACATGCATAGTTTTTCTTCTTGTCAGGAACAGCGGAGTTTTCTTAACATGGGGAAAGCTTGTATGTGGAGTCTGGCTAAGACAGAGCTTTCCTGTGGTCAGTCGTAGCCTGTGAAGCAAACTGCGTAACACTGTGTCATCACAGACAGCAAGCATAACCACAACTGTATGCTCACAAACTACATATAAAATATTACCTTATCTTCTTTAAAATTGAAATAAAATATGTTTCCTCCATGGGGAGAAAGAGGACCACATACTGGAGAAGTTTGCCATGCATTACAGTGTTTTTTTGTAAGGTGATCCAGTACCATGAGACTGGAGGTTTTAGAGTTAAATAAAATAATTTGGAAGAATGAAAGACATCTGATTATATGATTGACATTATTTAATGCATAAACATAGATTAGTATGAGGGGAGGGGGGAAAGAAAAGAGTGTGCTATATTGTTTACATAGTTCATAGAAAAAGTTTCAGTATTTTTCCTCAGAGTTGCAGACAGAATTTATTGAGGCAGAAAGTTAAAAATCTTGCTTCTGAAATTTTTAAGTTTGTGGTTCTTCTCTACAAAGGTAGAATATCTTAGAGAATCTTGTTGTAGAGGATAAGGAGTGCTCACTTTAACATTCAACTTTGATATTTCAAATACAAAAGATAGTATCTGTTACTCTGTCTTTTTAAAATTTTTTTTTATTGAATGGGGTATCTTGCTTCCATTAGGGCAATCAGCAGCTTTCCTGGTCTGCAGTAACATGTAATATTTATATGTGCTTTATTCATTTCCTTTCAAAAGTTTAGAGCAATGGAGCTCTCCTAGAGTTTGCATTATACATAATATGATAATGGCTAAGGCAGAAGTTTCATTACAGATAGAAAACGAAGATAGTTTTCAAGGCTTTTGGAAATACCTACAATACCTTTCACATGCAGTTTCAGATGGCAACAATGTGATTGGAACAGAAGAGAACAGTTTTGACCGCAGTTATGTAAAAAAGAAATTGGAACATGGGCTTTCACGCATATGGCAGGTATGTTTGGTTTTTTTTTTTACTAAATATTTATCTTCTCTCCCCCACTCTGATATTAATTACAATTATATTTATACTGATTTTTCCTAAATAAATCTCTCTGCAGATTTTTTTTTAAAGTTAGTTGTTTTGAGCTAAATATATCAAAACCATGGAAATGTGATTTCCGTAACTCAGTTACTACTTGGTTGCTATGCTTACATACTCAGTCAAGATACCAAAACATAGTAACATGACTTTCAGCCTGATTCCACTTCTCCCAACCTGTGTGCTGCCCATCAGTCTATTTTCTTCTCATGTGCTTTTCTGTGTTAGCACAGTCATGCTGCTTTATGTTTCTGGTATAACCTCAGCTATGGAGAAGTTGAAATCTTGTGAACCTGCCTAGTTTTGCAATATTCCTGATCTGACTGCTGGATCAGTTTGGTGTGCAGCAAGACCCCAAATGTATGATGAAACAGCTGTAAACCTTTAACATGGCTGAATTGCAATCCAAAACTCTGCTTTTGCAGTGACAATAAAGCGTCTAAGATTGACCTTACGTTACAGAGTGTTAAAAAAGCTGATTATGATATTTTTTTTTTAGAAAGTCAATGAGAAATCATTCATGTTACATAAAATAGAGTTTTACTCTAAATCTTGAAAAAGAAGTCATAAGTGTTAACAAACGAAAAAGTGCTAATGAACCAGGCATCTGAGCCTTCACCTTTTTGTCTTTGGTCTATTAAGTATACAAAAACTTGTTTGTGTTTTGTAGGATGTGCAACTGAAAGTGAAAACATATCTTCTGGGAACAGATCTGTCTAACTTCAAATATGATGACTTCATATTTGTACTTGATGTTATCAGCAGGTATACTGATGTAGTCGTAAGACCACTTAATACCTGTGCACAGACTTGAACTCTGATAAGGCAGCACAGTTAGCTAAGGCTGATATTTACATTCTAATGCTAACTTTGTTCATATCTACTGATAGTTCGAAGAGCATTTCTCTATGTGGGAATCTCTCTTTCTCACTACCTGCTCCAAGGATGGACTTGGGAGAGGTACCATAAATTGCTATGCTGCTCAAGTAGTGATTAAGTGCGATATGATTTCAGTATTGTCCACCTTTATGATGGATGTGCAGATCTGACAATTTTGTTATTTCTGAAAGCTCTTAAAGGGACTCTCAGTGAAGATCAGTAAAATATTGGTACTGCTAACCTATATAGTATTGTATCCGTCTGATTTGGTAATAAAATGACAAATTCAGACTGTGAGCTGTCTCAAAAAGACATTTATTTTGCTTATGGCTGTTTGGCTCTATGTGTATGGGACATTATGATAGGATTTGGAGGAAAATGAGACCATCAACGTTTGTGGAATGAGTGAAGTGTTTGCACCTTCATTGGTGCTCTGTTTTTATGGAGATACTTGTATGGTCATGGTAATGATTGAGACTTGTAATTCAGGTTGAAACAGCAGCATTAATAAATCAATAAATATTTCTAAACTTTGTTTTATTTTTATAGGCTGGTGCAAGTTGGAGAAGAATTTTGTGGTAGTAAGTCTGAAGTTCTGCAAGAATCTATCAGAAGACAAAGTGTTAACTATTTTAAAACATACCACAGGTGAGACTACTATGTGTGCAGTGGGTGAATTGAATGACATTTATTTCTTTTGGGTTTAACTTTAAATGCTTTCCAAAGGAATTCCACTGCATAATGCTCCTGCATTGAGGTTGACAGTGGAATGTGTTTCATGATAACAGGACTCTGAATGCTGGAAAAGGGGAGAGGGTGGAGAAGCCTTTGCTTCTGCTGTAGTTGTGAAAACTCTGGTTCTGCAGCAGACAAACCAGATAAAAAACTTTTTATGTAGAATTTCAGTAATTTTTCAGGCACCTTTTAAGCTGTCTTCTGGGATCCTGAGGATGACTATCTCTGAAGTCTATACTTCCCAACAAAATTGTTACTTCTTTTTCTATGCCATTACATAACAAGGGCTGATCACATGTGGCTATGAAATGTTTTCTTTTCAATATGCAATTTTGTCTTATATCAAATGAGATGTTTAGAACTGAGTCTATCCTTTTGAGTCATGTTTTCATACTTTTTCATTGGCAGTATCCAATTCTTTCATTCAACCCTGTCATATCTGAGGCCAGTCATATATGCTGTCATGTACAGGCGGTCTCTGGCCTCAGATATAATTACGTCTATGACAGCTTCAAGACTCGTCTGTCTGTCTGTTTTAGTTGTCTTGATTTTCTGAATGTTTTGGTTTGGATGATTGACAACTTTCATTCTAGTTATCTAGCATTTCTCTTCTTTTTGGCTGTAAATAGCTAGGAAGAGATGAGAAGTAAAATCATAGAATCATAGAATGGTTTTGGTTGGAAGGGACCTTAAAGATCATCAAGTTCCAACCCCCCACCCATGGGCAGGGACACCCTCCACTAGACCAGGTTGCTCAAAGCCTCATCCAGCCTGGCCTTGAACACCTCCAGGGATGGGGCAACTTCTCTGGGCAACCTGTTCCAGTGTTTCACCACCCTCACAGGAAGAGATTTCTTCCTAATATCTAATCTAAATCTACCCTCTTCCAGCTTAAAGTCGGTACCCCTTGTCCTATCACTACACTTCCTGATGAAGAGTGCCTCCCCATCTCTCCTGTAGGTCCCCCTGGAGTACTGGCAGGCTACCATAAGGTCCCCCTGGAGCCTTCTCTTCTCCAGGCTGAACAGCTCCAACTCTCTCAGCCTGTCCTCATATGGGAGGTGCTCCAGCCCTCTGATCATTTTTGTGGCCCTCCTCTAGACTCACTCCAACAGGTCCATGGCCTTCTTGTGTTGGAGGCCCCAGAGCTGGATGCAGTACTCCAGGTAGGGTCTCACAAGAGTGGAGTAGATGGGGAGAATCCTCTCAAGGAACTTTAATTTGTAACACTGATTTGCACAGCATCTCTGTCTTTTGTTTGTTGGCTTTACTGGGAGATCTGTGAGTTACGGCTACTCAGCACCTTGAAAATAGCACTTGAAGTCTGTTTGCATTTAACTTGTGAATTTAAATAGACACAGCAAACTGTAGTCATAATTTGACATATTACCTCGTTGAGGCAAGAAAATTTTAATTGTAGTGGTGATAATAATTTGTTATTGAAACAGAACATAAACAATGCAGAGATGTAGTGGCTTGATTATGTTTTCCTAAGACATTTTCTATATTAGTACCAAGGTAAAGTTTAGCTATGAAGAAAAATATAGCTTAGGAGACTAATAGCAATTCAACTTCTTTCTTCTCTGAAAAGTTTAGATGTCTGTTGAACATTAGTTCTTTCCACTTCCCTTTGATACCTGTTGGCTTCAGTGTGTTTACTGAAAGAAGCATGTATCTTGTGTGGGCTCACAGAAGCTATTGTACTGCTTATAGAGTGTTTGTATATATTATATTGCTCTCTATATAGAGGAAAAAGGATCCCGTATTACTGCATAATCGTTGATGATCCTCTATACTCTCTAATGATTTTGAGAAAAAATTGTTTCCAAATTTTGGAGATTGACATTCTTTGAGAATTTCTCCAGAGGTGTCATAAAACGTACACTGTGTTGGTAACCACAGCTTTTAGGTGGTCTGTCAATTGAAAGAATGAGTTAAATATCTGTTTTCAAATGTGACTTTTTATATGGTTTTTGGAGGTGGTTTTCACTGCATAAATTAAATAATTGTCTACTTCCTGATGTACTCTTGCTGCCAGTTAAGAGTATTCATTTGTTATATTTCAGAACCCGTCTTGAAGAACTAAGGATGTTTTTGGAGAATGAGACCTGGGAACTTTGTCCTGTTAAATCAAGCTTTAGTATTCTGCAGCTTCATGTATGTTCTGTGAATACCACATACAAATGTATTAATACTTTAATAGCTAAACATCCAGATGTTCTGAGAAAGTAGTAAGATCCACGAACTACTGTGCAAATGTGTTTAATGGCTGCTAAATGCCCCTAGATTTCACTTCAGGATATTGGAAACTTAGGATTCAAATGCTTTTAAAACAGTAGTGCTCCTGTTTCCGAGAGGTAGAGTTTTACAGAAGATGGTAGAGTTGTAAGCATAATGTTAGCCTTTATTTTTCATGTTTTAATGTGCTGTTAATGTATCAGTTTTTCATTTCTAAATTATTTATCTGAGAGTAAGATGCTAAAAGATGAGTGTCTAAAAGTAGTTGCACAAGCGCCCACTATCTTTTACTGGCTTTGGCATCTGTTTCTTAAAACAAAGGTCATACTGGCTCATTTGTAAAGGAAAAAAGAAGTTAATTCTTGTGCAGTGAAGTCCAACTGAAAGCAAGTAATGGGTGTGTTCACCTGCTGTCCTAAAGTGATTTTTGTGCAGTTTAGCATACAGTCGGTGAATTTCACCTGTTTTGCCAAGTGAAACATGGGTGCCTATGACTAAAAGTGTTGCTAAAGTGCAAAAATGGATATAGCTGAGCAATCTCAAGCAAAAGATAATTTTTCAGCTTCTGTAGACTTAACTGTAAAAGTAAGCAAGAGGCTACTGGGGCGGTAATAGCATAGAGGGAAAAGGAATGAAGACCTGCAGTAGCATCCAGTAGCAAAAGAAATCGTATTTTTAGTAAAGAAATGGGATTATAAATCCATATGTACTGCTCAAGGGACTAGAGCAGCAGAAAATGACAGAAAGTGTCTGATTCATTTAAACAAAGGGGAAACATTGCAGTCCTTTTAGCTGCACGCTTTTTGATCTTTAAGCCTTTAGATAAATGATTATGTACGTTTTACCATTTATAAAGATCAATAGCTAGAGTTTAATAGATAAAAATGATATATCAACTGAAGTCAGGTTTTTAGAAAAAAAGTCTAAAATTGGACCTTATGTGTCCTACTCAGTCCATGTATCTGAAAAAGTCTGTGTACTCACCCAGCCATCAAAAACTTCATATGCCATGGGTTTGAAAAGTAATAAATTTTGAAAAGAACTTTTTAAAAATAAAACATTAAGAAAAAAATTTCAGCTTTAGTAAATTGCAAAGTAACTGTGTAAGGAAAACTACATTTTTGGATAGAATATTAGGTCTTATTTTGTCTTCTACTTTCTGTAAAATAAAAAACCCACTTAGTTTTCACCTGGTTTTAGGCAGCAAATACTTTCAGAATGCAAGAGATGTATTGCGTGTCATAGCCAAAACCTGCTAAAATTAGAAAGATGAGCAGTATAAGATGGCCAGTTTCAAGGGTACCTTGAGCTAGCATGAAAAACATGTTTAAATGAGCAGCAAATTTTGGCTAAAAGTTTTCATATCAGGTTAATTGTCCACAAGTTTTTTGCTATGCTCTGTTTTTGTGGAACTGGAGTCATAATAGAACTGTCTTGTTGCTGATTAAAATTGTACTTTATTAACAGGAATTTAAGTTCATGGAGCAGTCACGTTCCCCATCTGTGTCACCTAGTAAGCAGCCTGCTTCAGCAATTTCAACAACAGTAACATTATTTGAGCAGTACTGTAATGGAGGAAACCCATTTGAAATTCAGGCTGACAGCAAAGATGATGAGACAGAAGACGTGTTAGCTTCCAATGGGGTATGGAACATTTCAGAAAAAACAAAACAAATCTCACTCTCACTAAATAATTATTTTGTGTATCAATGATGGCAAAATGTTGTAGTACAAAGATCTGTTAACTGCAGTGCTATCTAAAATCTCAAGGTGCTTTACCTAATTAGGTAGGTTGCTTTGCTTCTAACAGTACTAGAAAGGCAGGCATCCTGTTTAAAGTTCAACTTGTTTTGCAGTGGATCAATATTTTTTTTTCCCACTGAAGCTGAGTGTTCCTGAAGGCTGACCAGACATGTTCCATGTAAATTTTGAATTTTTCCGGGGGTTCTTTCACAGAGCAATTATGTGCAGTAAGTTAGGTTTTGTTGTGGAAGTAATTTTGTCATTTTAGGAATGGCTTTCTGGCACCTTACAAAAGAATCATGAGAGCAACCTCCTTCTGTTCACCTACGTGATTTTCCATTAATTGTCTGATGTTTGTTAGACAGTTTTTAATTGTAATTTAAATCCTCAGTACATTTGCTTTACAGTGGAATCTACTATAAAGCTGAACTTTATGTATATTTTTTCAGAATTCTGCCGAAGTCTAGTGGTGGTCAAATGTTTTAATTTTAAACTTTGTACCATCCTCTTAAATGTTATATTAGCATGTTTTTGTGAAGGCTTTTGCTCTTGTTTGTCCTTTTGATGTTTTCTTAGGCTTCTTTTGGTGATTATATTGGGTTCAGTTTTTTTTTTTTTTAAGGTTAATTAATCTAGTTTGTCACACTAATGGCTTTCTGGTTTTCACCTTCATCTCCCTTGCCTTCCCTGTGGAATTTCAGTTGCAAAGCAGATTGATTTGTATCTCACACACCGAAATGTGATGCAGCTGTTGCTTTCCTACAGTGTCACATGAAGAGAAAATGTAGTTGATTGGCATGAATTATTGTTGCTTTGTGCTTAAAGGAAACTGCTATAGAGGCAGTTTCCTGGTGGTAGTTCTTCCCCTGTCAAGTAATACAGCAGAACATATGTCCTGCCTTTTCCTATCAGTAAATTGAGAAGAGTTAAATATTTATCACTCTTATCACTCCAAATGAGCATGTTAAGCAAAGAGGAATACACTGCAGAGCATGCTGAAAACTGCTGAATTCCACTTTGTAGAAATCCAATCTGAAAGCTTTTGGGGAATTTGAGGAATTTTTCTTTCTATCTGCAGACTTGCACGGGATCTGAAAACATTGCACACAAGTTAGAATAGAGCTGCTTCATTCTTTACAGTTTTAACATTTTACCCTTCAGAATGTGTTTCTCCTAGCACAAGTAAGTTAATTGACATCGACTTCTGCTGCACTAAACTTTTGCTTCTGAAATCATGGAATCACTTGAGGAAAAAATTAGGTAGCAAAAGCTGATGAACATGTTGGAGATACTGGTTTATTGGCTTTTGCCAGCCTCAAGCATCATACTGCTGCCAAGTAATCTGGCAGACATCAGACTGCTGTCAGTAATACCCTCTTCTTTCTTCAGTTGTATATTATTTTTTCCCCTTTTCTCCAAGGATGAACCTATTTGGAGAAGTAATAGAGCTTAAAAAAAGCTTTAGCTTTCTCTACAAATACTGTGTTTCAAGTAGAAACTCTGCACACACTGATAGTTACGCAGGAATTGTCATACTGCGTGAGACCAGTGGTGGTTTTCTTACAGCATCCCGGCTCCCGGTAGTGATTAGCACAGACACTGGGGGCTCATGCGAGGTATTTAGTCCTGTAAGTCTTTTTTTGTAACCTGCATGAATTGCAGAGCGTAAATGTGTTGGGTTCATTTTCATCTATTTGTCCCTGAATTCTCCTGGAAAAAAGGCAAAGAAGTCACCCCCACCCCAGAACTGTGTTCTTTATTGTAGCAGAGTAACACTGTTGTCCAGGAAGTTACCCGTTATCTTTGCTGTCTTGTTGCCACAGGGAGTCAGTGAATTCTACCATCTAATCATCTTGGGTAAAAACTTCTTTTTATTCTGAATTTGTCTCTAGCCACTGAAAGAAATCTCTGGATGTAAATGTTACTGGTTTCATACTGGTGTATAAGGCTCAGTCCCAGACAGAGCTTAAGACAATAAGAATCATACTGAGAGTGCAGATGAGGGTGATCAACAATGTTAAGAAGGCATTTACTTGGTTTTCATATGTATTTGACTGTTAACTAAGTCACTGGACTGATAAAATCCTTTCCAAAACCTTTGTGAGCCAGGGAAGTTTTATGCACATTTTTGCAGAGAAATGAGGAACAGGGGTAGGTTAAATAACTTGACATTAGTTCTACAGGACATGTGACCCAGCTGCTACTAGAACCAAGGTTTCTTGTGACCCAAGTGAGTATACCCTCTAGGTGACCATCCTACCTTCTCTTTTCACAATTTTCATCTCCTCTCTGCTTACTGGCAATTCCAAAGTGCTGATACATAGAAAGAACTCTGATTTAAAAAGGAGGAAAAAAAAAAAAGCTACACCTATTGGATTATCCTTTACATAGAAACAAAATTATCTTCCTTAGGTAATGTGGGATAAAATTTCTGCAGAGGTTTTATCTTTCAGTTTCTTGACTAACCAGTTAAGGTGTAGGCACATTTTAGCACTTAAAATTGAAATTATTTCAGACAGATTTTGCAGAATTTTGCTTCTGGAGAATGCAGACATGTTTCCAGATATTTCAAGAAATGGCATGACAGGGACATAAGCAATTTAATTACTTTTCAAATTATCTGTAGAAGGGTTTCTTTCAAGAATTTTGAAGTCTCTTTAACTGCTTAGTTGTTGTAGTTCTGGACAACTGAAAATGGGCCTCTAGATCCAGTCACCTCAGTTCTATATCATGAGCTTCAGTGAGATCTTTAATGTCTCTTTTCTGTAGCTCCCTAAAATATCTTAGTTATGATACAGTTAACATTTTGTTATGGTCTTCAGATTTGATGAATCTTATCCTGTGGCTTTGCTTGGGCCGATTGCCTGAATCCTTGTGAACTGATTATTTGTAGAATCATAGAATGGTTTGGGTTGGAAGAGACCATAAAGATCATCTAGATCCAACGCCCCTGCCATGGGCAGGGACACCTCCCACTAGACCAGTTGCTCAAAGCCTCATCCAGCCTTGAACACCTCCAGGGATGGGGCATCCACAGCTTCTCTGGGCAACCTGTTCCAGTGTCTCACCACCCTCACAGTAAAATATTTCTTCCCAATATCTAATCTAAATCTGCCCTCTTTCAGCTTAAAGCCATTATCCCTCATCCTGTGACTGCACTTCCTGATAGAGTGCTTTCCCATCTCTCCTGCAGGCCCCCTTTAAGTACTGGCAGTCTGCTAGAAGGTCCCTCCCAGAGCCTTCTCTTCTCCAGGCTGAACAACCCTAACTCTCGCAGCCTGTCCTCATAGGAGAGGTGCTCCAGCCCTCTGACCATCTTTGTGGCCCTCCTCTGGACCTGCTCCAATGGGTCCAAGTCCTTCCTATGTCAGGGGGCCCAGAGTTGGATGCAGTACTCCAGGTGGGGTCTCAGGAACATGGAGTAGAGGGGGAGAATCACCTCCCTAGACCTGCTGGTCACACTTCTTTTGATGCAGCCCAGGACACGGTTGGCTGGGTCATTTTGAGGTTCTTGTCAACCAGCATCCCCAAGTCCTTCTCCTCAGGGCTGCTGCTCTCAATCCATTCTCCTCCCAGACTGTATTTATGCTTGGGATTGCCTCAACCCATGTGCAGGCCCTTGCATTTGGCCTTTTTGAACTTCATGAGTTTTGCATGGCCCCATCTCTCAAACCTGTCAGGGTCCCTCTGGATGGCATCAGGATATTGCTACAAGATATCTGAATTCCTTTTAGCACTTTAAAATTTTACTGCAGACTGCACATTCAAAATGGATTTACAAGGTCTCTTTGGTTTGAGGGCACTATTTAATAGTTGTAGTCACTATTTAATACTTTAAAATGCAGATATTTTTATCTTATTAAATAACTTTTCCAGTTCATTAATAGTATTAGGTTGAGGAGGCTTAATAAAGTGTTTTTTCCATGTAAAAAAATAATTTTCTCAAAATTCTCTTAACCTATGATGTTAAGACAGTTAAATATATCAACTGTCAGATTAATATATCAATATGAATTGTAGTTAAAAATTTGTAGTCAATTTATTGTTTTACTATTACTGGTTTTTAATTGAATTGGCCTGTAATTGATGATATATTACTGCATAATAAGTGATGGTAATTCTTCATGCTAATGTTTTAGCCAAGTTAGTTAAACTATGACTCTCTTTGTCCTTAATCAAGCCTGAACTCAGATCATTTTTGAAATAAAGTGAGCTGCTTTAATTATAGCTTTCCTTTGTCTGAAATAGTCATGATGCAGAAATTTTGCTTGTGAATAATAATGATCAGAATATTTCTTCTTAGCCTGTGTCTCATACTACATTCTTTTTTCCATCTGAGCTGTTTTTGCCTTGAATTTTTTGTACTGTGGGATTCTTGCTTTTGTAGTATGTTGCTTTCATAGTGCTAGGTTTTAAAAACCTCCATAGCTTGGAGCTGGGGCCAGGAATTGCCATACATGACTGAAAAAATGTATTTCATCATGTATTTTGGATGATTGAGAGGTGATTGAGGCATTACCTTAGTGTGTCTTACTTGATTTTCCCTTCTAAAGAGTGGTCATATCCTTTTAAACCCTGCCATTTCTTAAGGATCCTGGAACCAGACTGTCTTTGTCATATGTGTCGCTGTTGAGTCCTTGGATAAGATGTGTTCAGAGAAGTACACATGTTAAGGAAAAGTTAAAAGGAAAACTATTGTGTTCTCCCTTCAAGAACAAGTGCATTCTGGAGCCTGCTGGATATGCTTAATTCTGTGATAGTTGTGTAGATGTTCAGGAAAAATGGTTGTATCAAGAGCATCAAGAATTTTTTTTCCTTTAATGTTTTCTGGATTAAGAAATTAACCTTGTGAAAGAAATTTATTTCATTATTTAAGAAGCATCTAAATCACCTATACTACA